GGGCTGATTCCATATGTGGACGTCTGCCAGAATGCACGCAAGTGGCCTCCATTCGCCATGCTTCTCAAGAGAGTCTCCAGCTGCTAAGCAGGCCGCCTCCGCAAAGCATCATGTTGGAAACTAAGCCCTAAACCCTAAACCGGCCACGCTCTACACGTTGGTAAACTCTTCGATGCGAAGCATTCTTTGCGCACCATGGGTTTAGGGTTTAGGGTTTTGGGTTTAGGGTTTTGGGTTTAGGGGAAAGGGCAGACTGTAGAGTATGGGGATAGGGATGATATCACATTATCTGCTCGCGGCCGGTGAAGCAGTGGTTTACAAAACTATGGCAACAACGTCCTTCCTTCGCCGGCCAAGTCGCAAGCTTCGGTCAGAGCAGGAAGTCATCAGCGGAACCGGGCAAAACTGAAGTTTGAACCCTGAACCCTGAACCTTGAACCCTAAACCCTGAACCCTGAACCTATGTGCCCCTACCTCCAGTCGCAGAGGCTCTTCTGTCAAGCACACACCCTTGCGCTGCAGGGCGCTCAAGCCTGATAAAAGGTGGGCAATGTGCTGTTGTGCGGGGCAAGAACGATTTTATTCACACTGTTCTAGTTTTTACCTACCATATCTACCATCACGACTTGCCGACGGAGCAAAGCAACAGCCCTTGCGTGACAAACAAGGATCCGGCTCTCGAGGCCGTGCTGATAACGTGCGTCAGCGCTCGTCATGTCCTGCCAACGGTTGATCTCTTGTTTCCGTGGACTGTCACATGAAACAGCCAATCACGCAACGGGGCTGAAAGCATGGTGACAACCTGCAGCCACCTTGCCATCCTGCCATCCTGCCATCCTGCCTATCAACATCCACTCCAGTCCTGAAGTGCTTGGATGACGAAGAAGAACCATGAGCGTGGCTGTTCGCAACATGTGGTTTCAGACCTTTCAACATGAGTCAGGATCTCCTGGCCCACACATGGTCTTTACTTACGATGTTGGCATTAAGCAAGTCGGCTACATGCACTTACTGCTGAGCCTTTGCCAATGTATCGGTTCAGACAAGCCACGTAAAACATGACCTTCAACCAAGTACCCAGACCTATGCTTGGACAATCTCTTGCGCATTCATTTTTGAGCCAGAAAGCTGTGCCAAGACAGTAACATCGGAATACTGGCAATCTGAACTTTCTGCTATGGTTTGGCTGTGGTCCTCGATCCGCGCCCATATAACAGCAGGGTCTTCCTCCCCATGGGCCGGCCTGTCAGTCCCTCTTCGTTTCTCTCTGTCGGTTTCGTTGCTTCTGGGTGCGGAGGGAGAGAAAAGCAGACGTCTCTGAAACAATGAGGAGAGATTTAAACTCCCGAGCCAATCGACCTGTGTAACATTTCTTCCTCCAAAAGAACCCCAAGAGAAGAAGAAGATGAATAAAACATCATATCCCCTACTGCCTCTTGTATCTCCAACAATGCTCGGCCGGCAGCCGGTAGCCTCCATGGCCTTCATCTTCCCTTCATCTTCCAATATGTGACACTGTCCTTGCCTCTACGTCAATCCACGATTAAACCCTCTCAAAATCCAACTCCGTTATCCTAGCTTCATTTAATCGATGCGAAAACCCTCGTTTGAGCCTGTAGGAGCCTATACAACTATAGATGCTATAGGAAGGACCCTCTGACCTAAACCCGAAACCCTAAATCTTGAGGAGCATCCCACTTTTGGTCTTTCGTCGACCTTGGCAGAAAGGCTCGGAGGTTCCACGGGATGTCACAGGAAGTCATGTGTTCCCAGGCCGGGGACAAGGGCTGCTGTGCCGTGGCGGTGTGCACACTTGCGTTAGCGGCCCGAGACCTGGCTCTCAAGGGGTCACCCACTTCCATGGGCAGAGCCCACCATTGCCCCCCCTTGCGGTGGTCGTAGGCCAGGGAAGCGCCCGAGGCCCTCTCTTGTGGGAAGGCGCCACTACACAGCATCGTCCCGCGAGCGGAGGGTCAACTCGAGCTGCTCACCAAAGGTCCCTTTGCAACGCCAGGCTGTTGCAACGCCAGGCTGTTGCAGAGCCTACCCCCTTACCCGATGCGCCGGGCTCAGGCCCGTGACTTGCGGACTTGCGCACGTCGACTTCAGAGCAGACTGAGCGAAGCTTCGAAGCCACCGCAACGGGTGGGCTGGGAAGGGCAGCTCAGGCCTCTGGTTCGCTACCAGACAAGTCCCCAGCTCCGCCCTTCGACTCAAAGCGACACCCTTATGACCCCAAGCTTCTGATTTCCAGGCCTCGTCGTGTACCCCAAAGAAGGCTCAAACTCAGAACCTGCCAGCAGGCGGTGCGGAGTCCCCACATCCAAAATGGCTAGGGATTCTCTTTCCAAGCAGTGTTGGGTACGTGGGACACAGAGCCGCAAGTCCTCCCTAGCTTCAGTTCTCATGCAACGCCTGGCATGCAGCGATGAGGGCCATCTGTCTGATAGCGGTGTTTGGTGGTACTTTTGTGCCTTTAACATCATAGAATTTTGATTCTGTGGCGCCCGCTTGGAAGCCTCAGCTTTGAGAAACTTCTGTCTTTGGAGAAGCTTCCATCTTGCAATGAAGCAAGGGCCCCCCCAAGCCTGCTGTGAACGTGTAAGAAACTCGGGCACTTTAACTTTTGGGGTGAAACAAAGCTAAAGTCTTCTCAAGGCCCCTTTAGGCCTCAAGGCGAGAGGGATGGACCCATCAAAAGCTGCCACTGACACTCAGCCGCTGTCTGCTGTGGGGGGAACGGTGCAGGTCCGGGCTCCCAACTTCCCGAAGCCTCTGAAACCCCTCAAGCTGGCCCTCTGTTGGCCGCAGAAGGACGGTGTAGAACACTTGGGGGCTCGAGGATTATTTGGGTTTAGGAACCCGGGGGTGGGGGAGTGGGCGCTGCATTGTCGACGTCGCGTGACGTCGCTTCTTATTGGCAGGCTTTGGGGTGTTGACTTGCCTCACAGTTGATCCCAGTGCGCTTTTCGCACATGTGGGACACCGAGAACCCGCCAGCTGCAAAAACCTAAATCGGAAACCCCACTCCGAGACTACTGCGCCTCGATTGTGAGACTCTTTCGGGTGTGTAGGTGTTTAGGGTTTGCAAGCTGAGGATTCTGGCTCCAGGAACTACAACCAAAGCTCTCTGGCCTAGCACCCAGAGCCCCTCGCGTGTGCCAGAGGTGCCGGAGGTGGGGGGGGGGAGGGGGGGTAAACATTGGGCGCTGCAATGTTGCAGTTTCAACGTCCCCCGGCCCACCCTGGCAAGGAATTCGGAAGCCGTTCCGGCAGCATTGGAGAATCTCCAGCTGTCAATCGCTGCTCCAATCGTTTGGTGCGATCTGACCGAGTCAGAGGAGGCTAGACATGACAAGTATCCGACCGGAGGCCGCGTGGACATTGGGCCGGATACTGGGCACAAGGCGCTCTGACATGCATGAGCGGGCGTGCAACTTGCGGTGAAATGCCGAGTTGCGCCGCACGAGACTGAGCGCGCCCTGAACGCCCAGGTGCTGGAGTGCTTAAGCGTCACGCGGGGAGCACCTGTCAGGGAAGACGCTTGCTGAGGCATCGGCGTTAGGGGGGAGGAAGTCGCTTCGCTTTGTAGCCTAAGTCTCGTGAGACAGCGGTTAATAATTATTCTCCGGAGTTGCAGATGCAGCCTTTTTCAAAGAGTGACCGAAACGCTGTTGGCCGCAAGAGTTCCGATGGGGCACCTTCTGGCACCCGGCAGCACAGAGAACAGGGAAACCATGCCCACGTCCAGCAAGTACTGGGCTCTACCTGCGAAGCTGATGCATTCCTGCCTGCCACCACTGGTTGCCCCCTCACGTCGGACAGCAGGCAAAACGGAAAGGGGAGAGCCCGGGTGAAGGGGCCCTCGCCCGCGATTGCTTGCCATGAAGCCCACGAGGCCGAGCCAGTGCAGCTCTTCGCCTGCGGCATCTCACCGCAAGTTGAAAAAGGTTCGTCGTCTAGTCTCTCTTGGCGTCATGCCAGCTTCAGTGGAAGCACAGGGGCGCCTCCCACAGCTGCTAGAAGCTGACTGGGTTCTGCACACCACAAGCGCGTGGCACGGCGAGAACCCAACGCGCGTCCACGCAGGGCGCGTCCGCGCAGGGCGCGTCCACGCTCGCAGAGCGCTCATTGATAAGCCATGGACATCATGTCAGGCAAGCACATCATGTGGGAGCTGAGCAACTCCAAGCAAAACCCGAGCAGAGCCCTCAAGCATCGCAGCCGGAAGATTGAACGACGCGTCATCACAGGAACTTCCTCAGCGGTCGGATTCGACACTAGCACTCCACAAGCAGTCGTTCGAGGTCCTATTCGGAAACCTATGAACTCTGAATGCGGCTGCCCCTGTGACTCGCGCCGGTGGCTTTGAGTTCAACTGACGAGCAGCGCCTGCGCTGGTCGGAGCGACCGAGCATCTGTGACTCGGAGCGCTTGTGAGCATCTGCAACTTTCCACCCTGTACAAGCACTTGCGTTCCAAAGAACATGCTGCTCACCTGAAGAAGCAACGGACACGTTTGTGCAGGGACTTGCGCGAAGACACTGTGCTCACACGCGACTGGGACAATCATCTATTGCTTCTGTTTCCTGCAGGTTGCGATAGATATGGCAGAGCATCTGCAGCGGCAAAGGAGTCCAGGTCGGCCCAACAGAAGGAGGTGCATCCGCACCCAGCGCGCACAAGCTAGGTGGGCTCTGGCTTGCCGTTAGCACAAGTTCCACGCAGAGGCGAGAGCACGGCGGACCTTTTCAAACAAAGGCATGCAGCGACAGAACACTGGCTGGGCCAACACATTGACACATTCATTCTCTCACTGGGCTAGCAGCAACTGCTAAACAAGCTCGAAAAGTACCCATGGAGCCACAAGCCTGAGCGAAAAGATTCTGCAGTGCTTGACAACTACCATACAACGTGAAAGGTGCTCGCCAGAGCAAGCCGCTAAGGGAAAGCCATCGTCACGCGAGCTCAACTGCGCGCGGGGCGCTTGTGCAAGGCCAATGGCTGGCACGGCTAGCAACTTGTCAGATGAAGATCTGTTTTCCACATGGGGAATTCCTTCACGGCTTTGCAAAGACGCATGTCCAAATCTATGCTGCAAGCTGCATTACGGCCTGGGCAAGCGGACCTCGTCCGGAGCCTTTTTGCCTACAGATGCCTACAGTCTCTGGCGATGGCACACGCCCTGCAGCCAACGAAGTCTGGTGCAACAACGCGGGTGGAAGGACAGTCGCTCCGAGAAGGTGCGCTCGGAGATGCGCCCCAACGCAGCACACGGCCAGCAAAAGCATGCAAAAGCTTGTGGAGAGCTCGGCTGTTTGCGAACACAAGTTCCAAGCTGCTGCAGAAATTTCAATGTCCGGAAGACCCTAGGTTTGACCACCTTCGTTCGCAGCGTGCCCCTTACAGTTCTGTGGATGCAAAGGCTTTGCGACACAGCCCGCCTGTAGCCTGCAAAACCCGTACGGGGCATCGCAAGCTTGGAGCCACCGAGGTCACCGTGAAACTAAACCTGGAAGCACAGGAGCCAGAGGAGTATGGGGAGCTGCGAGCGGACCTAGTGTGTCAGGAATGTGGTGTTTCAGGGGGGGCACCATCTCGTAGGTGCTGATGCCCATGCGACTTCCCCAGCTTGTTAAGGGCACGTCCAGCCCGCAAGGGCATGTGAGGCTCCGATCAGGGATGCTTGGGGAGACCGACATGCAGCTTTTTGCAGCACGTGCCCCACAAAACACATGCCTGGAGACCTGGCATGTCAAGAGACTGGGAGCTTGAAGGCAAAGGGAACAAGAACGCACTTCTGGACTGTGATAAGCCGTAAGCCGCATGAAGACCATACAGGAGCTGCGATAAGGCTTTCAAGAAAAGCACATGCCTGAAGCGCGGTACCCAAACCCTAAACCCTAAACCCCAAACCTTAACCCTACGCCCTATTGCTCACCATCATCGTGCCCTATAGCCCACCACGCGTGCGCGCAAGAGCCGGGCCGCCACATGATTTCACTGCCTGGGCCGTGGGTCAAGTGGGGGTTGTGTGGGTTGTCCATTGTTCCTTTGCCTGGCACCTTGGACCACCCTTGCACGACCCTGCCGGGAGCTTGCTCGCACGCACAGCATTCCAAAGTTCGAGAAATCACAGACCCTCGCGCCAGTTTGCACGCGTGCAGCGTGCAGTATTCTCAAAGTAGGAACGCGCTGTCCCTGAGCCCTTGAATCTTGCAGCAGCCGTCAACATGCAAGGTGCTGCGAAGCCTGGGTCGTGCATGATGTGCGCACGGCAAAAGGAGACTCCGCTTCCCCTTAAAGCTCTTTAAGCTCTTAAAGCTCCTAAAGCTCCTAAAGCTCTCGGCTAGGAAGATGCACGCAGAGAATGTAAGCGAAGCAGCGGAGAGAAGAGAGGCCGATGAGGGTATCTAGCAACTTGCAGTCTCAAGGTTCACTGAGGGCACTGAAGGGACCCTCTGTCACTGGCCATCAGGAGCTGCGATCTGCGCACGTTCGTGACAATGCACATAATGATCATAGTACTTCCCAGGCATCAAGCTCGCAGGCGGAGGGGTTGGGCAAGTGCCGCTGGGCTACGGATGCTCAAAAGACAGCGCACGCGGGGCGACGTCCCGTGCAAATCAAAGTGAGTCCGGAACTTGACCTCGCTGGTGCCCCGATGGAGTCTCCCAGGAAGGCTAAAGAAGAAACTGCGGGTTGAACAGAGAAGCTCCTGGGCTTGTCAGTGGAGATGGCGTGCTATGCCACGTCGGCATGGATCAGCTCCTGACACGTGCCAGGGCATACACAGTGGCCTCGGCTGTGGCGGAGACCTCCTTGATGCGAAAAGAGTGCCGAACCCAGGCCCTGCCAACTCCCAGCTTCGGAGCCCTGGTCCTGGACTCCGAGCATTGCAAGGGGACCCTTCCGTGGCTCTTGGAGCCGCGCGCACGCACGAGCAAGCGGCGCCGGACTCGTGGCATGGGGATCTCCTGCGTTGCACTTAAGGTGTCCGGGGGGGCATTTGGGCGCACACCCATGCTCTTGGCCCATCCTCCCGCTGCTAGTACCCGCAGCGCCGCGCCTTGGCGGGCAGCCCCCCGTGCTTAGGAGGGGGGGGGGCAGAAAATGTAGATTAGGGGTTATGTGGGTCAAGCCCCCGCGACTGAATGCCCTACAACAGGAGCAGGACATATAGGCGAGGACAAGTGTCATTTCACTTGCAGGCGGCATCCTTCAAAGGAAAAGCCTTTACAGAAAGTGTAGATTACAATTTTCGCTCCCCCACCGATACGAATGTGTCAATTGTAGGATCCCACGTCTGGGTCCACGTTTTGCAGCTACCTCGTGCAGGGCAAGCCACGCATACCCCTGCTGATTTCCGCTGGAAACGGACACTGGCAATTGTAGGAAAACATGTCCTACAATTATGCACCCCCCACCACTCCTACATTTATTAATGCGGGGGGGTGGCGGACAGCGTCAGCAAGCAGCTTCTCATGATTCATGGACAGGGATCAAGGTAGGCGAACAATGTGGAAGGAAATCCACAAACAAAGTCACATGTTCCTGTCTCCTTAGACCTACTTTTGCCGACCCTTATTGTACAATAGGCCAGGGACAAGCTTGCCACGCGGATTGTGCCACAGAGCTGAGCCACCACAGAGCTTCATTGCCCAGAAGACCGTGGGTCAAGTGGGGGTCGTCCAATATCAACGTGCGGGATCTGCCCCGATGGTCGCCCTTGCACACGCAGCATAACTTGACCATAGCTCTTCAAGCCTGCTGAAGGCAAGCGCTCCAAAGCCGTGAGCCAGCTTACGCGCCCACAGCCTTAGAACATAAATGCCCGTGAATCTGGAGTTGCAAACCCTTGTGACCCGGAACCCCTCGCCCGCATCTGTCTCCTTAGACCTACTTTTGCCGACCCTTATTGTACTGAAAATAGGCCAGGGACAAGCTTGCCACGCGGATTGTGCCACAGAGCTGAGCCACCACAGAGCTTCATTGCCCAGAAGACCGTGGGTCAAGTGGGGGTCGTCCAATATCAACACGCGGGATCTGCCCCGATGGTCGCCCTTGCACACGCAGCATAACTTGACCATAGCTCTTCAAGCCTGCTGAAGGCAAGCGCTCCAAAGCCGTGAGCCAGCTTACGCGCCCACGGCCTTAGAACATAAATGCCCGTGAATCTGGAGTTGCAAACCCTTGTGACCCGGAACCCCTCAGCCCGGCATCATCAAGAAACTGTAAACATAAGAGGGGTCGGGCAGAGGGAGGACGGAAGGAAAAGGGAACGCGCATCCGCACCTGCAATGCCAGAAGCTGAATCAAATCGTACTAGTGCCGAATTCGGCCTCACGCATGAAGCCGAGTTCATAGCAACTTACTGTGATTTGCGATAAGGCCTCGTATGGCTACGGCCACATACCTTAAAAGGATATGTGAGTACCCTTTGCCACGCGGATTGTGCCACAGAGCTTCATTGGAAGACCAAGGGTCAAGTAGGGAGACATCGGGGGCCGCAAGAATGTCCCAAACCCTCCCAACGGCCCTTTCAGAATTGTGCTCAGGACCCGTAGGGTCCTCGGTGACGAATGGTCTTCGTAGCCTACGTAGCCAGAAGCCACTCAGTCGCCGGCATTGCAGTGGCTCGTCTTGTAGGCTCTTTGGTCTTTCGAATTTAACTCAACTCGGCTAAGTTGCTTAGGGATGTTCCCTGTCAGAGGGGTTTCACAACTCCGGACTTCCGCGCAAGCTGGCTCAAGGCTTGGGAACATTGCCTTAATGCGGGCTTGAGAGTCATGGTCTCAAGTTATATATGGTGGGCAAAAGGTGCGGCCACCCCCAGCCTGAAACCCTATAAACCCCTAGTGGCAGATCCCCGTACGTTGATGCTCGACAACCCGAGTCGGGCTGCAAAGGCAACTGAAATCATACCAGAGCGAACAGAAAAGGCAGGCCCTTCCCCTTGGTAGGGCGCGGAAGCTCGTAAAGCAGACGACAGGTCCATGCAAAAGTACTAGGTCCTGAAGTGCTGGACAGCGCTGGAGTCAGCATTGAGCGGTCGAGGGTGCAAAGTTTGTCGCAGCAGAACTTCTGCATCCTCAACATCACAAGATTGCACAGCCAACCGGGAGCTGTGTACAGTTGCTTTGTGCCATGCCTCATGCAATGCATGTTATTATGCGCGTGGCGGCACGAGTTTGGACAGCACACGTGAATACCATACAGGAGTCGTTAAACCGAATCAGGGCCCACGAAGCATGGAACTGAGTCGGCAAGCACAACTGAGCCCAGCGCAACTCGCCGTGATAAGGCTTTCAGGCCTTGTCGTAAGGGCACATGCCTGTTGCTAAGTACCAGAAACCCTACACCCCAAACCCAAAACCCCTTAAACCCTAAACGCTTCTTCAGCGAGGACATCCCCCTTGGATTAAGGGTAGGGGGGGTTGGAAAATGACGAAGGCATTTCTCGACCCTCGAACCCCCCCATCGAGATTCAACACAGACCCCGCACATACACCAGAGATAGTGACAAACCATAATTTCCGAAATTTAATTGCCGAAAGGGGGGTACCCCCCTACTCTTTCGGCACTTATGAAGGGAAATGCTGTGAGCATCACTCGCGCTTTCTTGAAGACCATGGTGGCAGAGATCAGGAGAAAGGTTTTAGGGTTTCTCGCATGTTAAACCCTCAACCCGAAACCGCAATCCCTGGATCCTAAATCCAGAACATGTGCCCCTAAACATCCCCAAACCCGACTTTTGCGAGGCCCTGCCTTGGAAAAGCAAACGGAAGGACATGCTTACAGCATGAGCCGTGCTTTCCTGCAAGCTCAGAAGAAAGGGTTTAGAGTTTCGGGTTTGGGGTCTTGCAGGACTTTGCTGCTGCACAGCTCGGCGGGCCTGAGTAAGCTTGTTTCCTCGTGAGGAAGCAACATCGCGGACTGAGACTCAGAGCACAGATCTGAGTCGTCTTAAACATGGAAAGTTTACCTTCAGCGGTCTGATCCTGATGCCCGGCTTGACCATTGCTGGCTGCAAGCCCTGCCACCTGATTTCTCATCCCTGCTTTCATTCCGTTCTTCAAGGCGGGCACCTTGAAACACCACAACCTCTCCATCACTCCGGGACTGCCCCTTTTTAGGCCATGCTATGCCATGCACCGGCCAGAGTCAACTCTTCTCTGAGGAAACAAAGAGAAGCTACCTTGAACCCCCTCAAGGGCGACTTCTGTCGGAGCCAAGGCTGCCGAAGCCAGCCAACAAAACATGGTTCGCTTGCCTCCTCACGTGATCACGTGAGCAGACCGGGAAACTGCCAAAGGCAATCCTCTGAGTGGACTTAACCACACATCTGGACCGGATGCTGCCAATGTTGCGTCCGAACGCATGTGACGCTTCCGGGGCTTTGGGCTACCTTCTTGCGGTCCGTCTTAGAAGGGGACTGTATCTGGGGTCT